AGTAAGATCTATTTCCAACCATGCAGTAGCAGAAGTAAGATCTATTAATATGATTGGAAAGGAAGGACTCAATAATCTTAATTTTGTTACCTAATACACTGTAAGAAGAAAGCTTATGGAAAAAACCAGCATGCTAAACATTATCAAAAACTTCAGTAATATCAGGAGCGATGACCTAAACCTCTCAAACTCTATCTAATGCACAATAAAACCTATTGGTTATTACTCTTAACGAACCAGCTGTAGAACAAGAAGGTCAAAATCCATATTGATAATCAGAAAGTAAGTTATAAGATTTAAGCTGAGATATTAAGTGTTTTAAACATTTAAATTCATCCATTAATTGTAAAACACTAACTAATTATGATTGCTTTCAGATTTTGGATACTGCCTTTACCATTAACAAATTAAAAATAAAAAAAGCACTTCATATTAAATGGAAAAATCCTTCTTTAAATAAACAAACATCTCATATTATAAATTTATCTATCTAACTTACTATATTATTATTATTATTTTTAATATTTTTATATTAGGAAGGTTTTAAAAGAATTAAAAGATAAAAATATTGATGATTTTACACTGAATTGGTCCATCCTTAAAACAGTGCCTGCATATAACAATATTTCCAAAAAATGCATACTATGTCTACAAGAAAAATTTGAAATAATTACACATACAAACTAAGAATGTTTATTAAACAAAGAATTGGAATTGATTTCTAAATGAAGGCACGAAAATAAGTTTCTTTTAAAAAACTATAAAAATAAGTGAACTCAAATAATAGTTACATTAACTCCCCTTTGAAAAACATATTTTTTTTTTTAAAGAGCTTAAGTAATCATTTCTAAAGAATTCTTTTTACAATAGTGTCAGCAAATTACACAAATGTGTGAAAAATTGCAGTAGTTAAGACATGTGACTTCCTGTAATTTAATTTTTGGTATAAATTGAAGTTTTATTAATTTGATCATTCATTTCTGATGAGTCTTTATTGATGAAACGCAGTGTTAAATAAGAAAAAATTTTGCTAAGTGATTTTCTACTAATTTTTATATATATATATATATATATATATATATATATATATATATATATATATATATATATATATATATATATATATATATATATATATATATATATATATATATTTATATATATATATATATGAATATACATATATGTATATATATGTATATATATACACATATATGTATATATATATAATATATATATACATATATATATATATATATATATATATATATATATATATATATATATATATATATATATATATATATATATATATATATATATATTTATATATATATATATATAAATATACATATATGTATATATATGTATATATATATACACATATATGTATAGATATATATATACATATATATATATACATATATGCATATATATATACATATATATATATATATATATATATATATATATATATATATATATATATTTATGTATATATATATATATATATATATATATATATATATATATATATATATATATATATATATATATATATATATATATATATATATATATATATGGATAATAGTTTTTTCAAAGTTTCACTGCACTTATCTTTCCGAGCCATTTATGCATTACAATTCGTCAGCCGAGAACCAAGAGGCTGTATATCTAGTTTTGACTTTTTTTCTGTTTTTTAATAAAAAATGTTTTCTATGATGAAATCTATGTTTTGAGTGGTAAGAGTCACAAAAACTATTAAACTTAGGGTTATATTAAAAGAACCAGAAGGCTGTATGTCTAAAAAAGTGACGATTTTTATTATCAATTGGCTGTATGTCCTTTGACCAATCAGATTAGCCAAGACTTTGTTTACGCTGTTAAACAACAGCTAAAACTCTATTTGTTATCAATAAAATGGGGTACCATGAAACTATTGATGAAGTATCTTAAAAGTACGAATATAAATATAGAGTTCTCTAAATTATAAAATCACGAATTGTTTAGACTAGTCAATGCCTACTACATAGTTCTATATATTTAATATATTATAATTATTATTATTGTTATTATTATTATTATTGTATATACAATATTTAATTTTTAAAAACATAAAGAAATAAGATTACACTCAATTACAACATAATCTTCAATTTAACTACTCTGAATCTATCTGAATCTAGAAATCTATCTGAATCTAGAAATGGAAAGAATCTTAAACGCAAACAAAAAAGAGACCCTACCTCCTGGAAAAAAGAAATAAGAAAAAAACTTAGACAGAGTGGTCAGCAATACATAGCCTCAAATGGCAAAATACAACTAGGGAAATTTATAAAAGACTGTAAGAGAGACCACACTCAATGTCGTTTTAAATGTAAATTAAAAATTGCTGATCAAGAAAATTTGCACAAACAACACTGGAATTTTAATGATCAAGAAAACCTCTTTTTTACTACCAAACTACAATTTTAGAGAACAAAAAAAGGTTTTGTCTTGCTGAAAATTCAGAATTGAAAAAACATAGTTATTCATATTACTTTATTGTTTCTGATGAACTTATACATGTTTGTAAAGAATTTTTTCTGTGTACTCTAAATATTGATGAAAAAAGAATAAGAAATTACCATTTAACAAAAAACAAAACAACAGGATTTAACCTCACCTCCAGTAAACACCTCAACAGTATAAAAGAGGTAAAGTACCTAGTCGAACTGTCCCAAATTACATTAAAGATTCTGTACGCAAGCATATTCAAAGCATTCCAAGAATCGACAGTCACTTTTGTCGCAAAAGTACAAACAAAGAGATTCAAGAAATCTGAATATCATTTTGTATGAGAAATATTGTGAAAATTGTGTTTCTGACAATGTTATTCCTGCAAAAAAAAGTATGTATAGATCAATATTTAACACAGAGTTTTTAACATTGAAGTTCATAGACTAAAAAAAGACAGATGTGACAAATGTGAAAGTATGAAAATGAATCCTTCAAACTCAAATGAAAAAATAGAATATGAAATTCAAACAAAAAACAAAGCTGAAACTAATGAAGAATGTAATCGTGATAGGCTTGATAAACATAAGTGTGTTATTTGCTTCGATATGGAAAATGTTTTCAGCCTACCAACAGAAAAAATTTCCAACTTTTTTTACAAACGAAAGTTGACTGTTTTTCATTTGACTGCACAATGCTCTATATCAAAAAAAAATTATAGTGCAGTCTGGTCAGAACTTACTAGTGGCCGAGCAGGAAATGATCTTGAAAGAAAGTGTTTTTCTTGTTATACTTGATCAAACAGTTGCAGATGAATCACAGATGAATAACACTCTCAAATAACTTAAATTTGCTTATGAAGTGACTTTTGTGTAACGCAGAATAGAAATAGTTTTATGACGATTACTTTAAAAAATTTTATGCAAAACCACCCACAAATTAAAACAATCATTCAGAAGTTTTGAGAGCCAGGACATAATGTTATCCAGGAGATAGACAGTTAACATAGTATTATTAAAAGAAATATGGAAGTAGCTGAAGTTTACAGTCTAATTGCCTTGTCAGAATTCTAAAGTACATACCTCGAAAGAATCCATTCAAGTTGATTCAAATTAAAGAAGAGCAGATGATGGACTTTCAAACCGTTGCTAAGAATTATTCATTGCTAAAAAATATTTCATATGCTAAAGTAAATTTACTTAAATACTTAGCTGATAAGCCATGGAGTGTTAAACCAATGTTAAAATTCATGCTTCTTCAAGACAAAGAATATATGTCATCGGTCTTACAAACATTCATCTAGTGTTAAATGTTAAGTTTTATCAATTTTTGTTCGCAGCAATTTTCAGCTCTATTGGCAATCTCTATTGGTTAAGCTCTATTGGTTCTGATCAATTTTTTTTTGAACTCTTTTTATGAAAATTGTTTTATGAATTTTAATTTGCAGGCTGTTGTATTTCATTTTCAAGTAAAACAGAAGGTTTGGATTAGTCTTTAATTTATACTTACTATTGCAACCAGCTTGAAAATTGTAACTAACATAATCAAGTATATAAATATATATATATATATATATATATATATATATATATATAAATATATATATATATATATATATATATATATATATATATATATATATATATATATATATAAATATATATATATATATATATATATATATATATATATATATATATATATATATATATATATATATATATATATATATATATATATATATATATATATATATATATATATATATATATATATATATATATATATATATATATATATATATATATATATATATATATTTAATTCTGAAACCCTGAAACAAGTTTTGTATTATTTTTTATTTTTATAGCGTTTGTATCAACATAACTGACCCTTGCAAAAATTGTATTTTGCAATCTTTTTTGGTTTTATGCTTTTCAAAACTGCATTAAAAGTGCATTTAATAGTGTGTCACTAACACTAGAAAAGCAATTTATTTCCAATTTTTAATTTCCAAAATTACTTCCTCTTAGGTGCTTTAAACACTGGACAAGACATTTGTTATAGAAATATATATCAGTCCTGATAAGAATTAAAACTTTAAGTGTAACCCCCATCCCCCCTTGTATTATTCACCTGAGAGTAATCATATAAACCGCTGTCTGAAAAACGCTGTTTATTAAAGTTTAAAGAAATGCAAACCAGCAGGCTGTATGTCCACAACTACGTTCAGTTTGCAACCTTTTTAGATTAAAACCACTCATTCAAACAAATTTTTATTACTTCTATTAAAAAAAAAAGACTTAATTTACTATTAGACTTAAAAATATAAATATTTTACAAAATTATCAACTGTCAGTATTTGTGCCCTAAAATTTAAAGATCGAATTACTCCAATTCTCAAAAAGTGGAGATACCGCCTCTTGGTTTTCGGCTGACGAATTGGTGTTTTTTATAATCAAAAATATTGATTTTATTTCACTATTAAACAAAAACTATACCTTTAGCAAGAATAACTAGAGATTCAGCTTTTTTATCTAAAAAAATAGAAGAGGTATTCCATGAGAAAGTGGGACAGGTATGTAACCCACCAATTCAGATTTTCTTCAAACTTTGTAAAAATGGTCATCTATATAACATAGACTACCTTGCAAAATTTTAGCACTGATATCAAAGGGGTTTTGGAGTTATTGTTACTTTAAAATCAGCTATTTTTAGCAGTTTTTTCTGTTCGGTGGCCATTTTGATTTTACTATAGTTTTTGTTTTACAAGTTACTGTTTAACTAAACATGTAATTAAGCTGAAAATGAGTCCCAGTATAGTTTTTTTATTTATTTTTTTATTTGCATTCACTCCCAACAAGGCTGCAAGCAACCACTATTAAGTTTGGAGTTACTAGGAAAAAAAAAGAACAGATTTATAGAGCAAGGAAACGGTTGACAGAAGACTTGAAAAGTTGAAGGTTGTATGAGTCAGGAAAACATGAAGATGGGAGAGAGTTCCAAAGGATTGAAGTACGGGGAAAAAAACTAGATGAATAAAAGTTTTTAGAGCATGCAGGGACAGATACAGTAAACGAATGAGACTTAGCTGAATGACGAGTAAATCGAGAATGAATTTTAGTTGATGGAACTAGAGATGATAACTCCTTTGAGCAGTGACTATGATAGTATCTGTAGAAAAGAGAAAGAGATGCAACTTTATGACGATGGGAAAGAGGTTCAAGCTTAGCAGATAGTCCAGGTCCAACAACATTTACAATGCGTTTTTAGACCTTGTCAAGAAGAGAAAGTGAATCGTTAGAAGAACCAGCCCAAATATGACAACAGTATTCCGAACAGGGACGAATAAGAGATTTGTAGAGGTAGAGAATGGAATCAGAAGTAAGAAAATGGCGAGCACGATAAAGAGAAGCAACCTTAGCAGAAGCTAATTTAGCAATCGATTGTATATATGGTTTCCATGAACGGTCAGTAGTAAGTGATAATCCAAGAAGACGTAAAGAGGAGGACTCAGTAAGAGGATTGCCATTCATTAATATAGGAATGTTGACCATATTACGGTAGTTGTTTGCAGTAAGCAATTGGGTTTTTTTAGAGTTGAAATTCACAAGCCACTGTGAACCCCAATCTATTACTGAAGTGAGATCAGATTCAAGATCAGCTGCTTGTTCTAGGCGATCGAAAAGAGAAGACTTTTTGTCAAGACAGGAGTATAAAGTTGAGTCATCAGCAAAAAGAGCTACTTTAGGTGAAAGGTTGTCAGGAAGATCGTTTATGTAGATAAATAACAAAACAGGGCCCAAGATGAAACCTTGGGGAACCTCAGAAGTTACTGGAAATAAAAAAGAGTGTTGGCCTTCAAGGATGACTTTAATAAACCGGTTAGAAAGAAATGATTTGATAATCTCAAAAACTTTCCCAGAAACACCATATGAAGTAAGCTTATGGAGAAGACCAGCATGCCAAACTTTGTCAAAAGCTTTAGATATGTCGAGAGCAATAGCCCTAGCCTCACCGCCTCCATCTATTGCACAATAAAATCTTTCAGTTACAGCAGTTAGCAAGTCAGCCGTAGAGCGAGAGGATCGAAAACCGTATTGATTGTCTGACAGCAGTTTATTTGACTCAAGATGAGATGTGAGGAATTTGTTGATCAAAGACTCAAAGACCTTGCTAATAACAGAAAGAAGACTGATCGGACAATAATTGGAGGGGTCAGAATTTTCTCCAGAGTTTTTGAATATTGGAACCACAGATGCCATTTTCCAACAAGCAGGAAAAAAAGTTCTGGAAAACAAGTTCTGGATTCAAGAGTGGAATTAGAAGAAAAGTTGTTTGCAAATAGTTCTGCCTTATCCTTGGGAGAGGTAATAAGATCAGTCCCATGAATGAGAGATGGAATGTTAGATCTACCCTTGTTAACAATGCTGTTGAAGATTTTCCAAAAGTCTTTAGAGCCTAACTTCTGCGATAAATGCGAGATTTATTGAACTGAGAATAATGGAGTTTAGCATCAGAAAGCACCTTTTTACATCTATTTCTTGCAATAATAAATAGCCGTTTGTTCTCAAGAGAGTTATTCTTTTGAAAAAGATGAAAAAAATGATTACAATTAGATATAGCAGCCGCACAAGAAGGAGAAAACCATGGAGTAGAATGAGGCTTGACTTGAAACCGACAAGAAGGAATAAAAGCTTCCATTCCAGCCTGAATCCAGGAGGTTACGTAGGAGGCGCATTTGTCAGCTGAGAGAGAAAAAACATCAGCCCAAGGACCATCACGAAGAAAATCACGAAAGGAATCCCAGTCAGCTTTAGGGTAGTAGTAGGTGGTGCGATGATAAGGTGAGCCCAAAAAAGAAGTACGAGAAGAAAGATTTATAGAGATCATTGCATGGTCAGAACCACCTAAGGGAGAAAAGGGAGAAACTAAACATAAGCTAGGGTCAGAGACAAGACATAAGTCAAGGAGTGAAGGTAAATGATTAGGGTTTTCAGGAAAACGAGTCACAAAGTTAACTATCTAAGTAATAGATTGAGAAACGCAGAAGTTAAAGGCTTTAGTGCCAGCAGGATCAGTGGTGTTAGAGCCAAGCCATTCAGTGTGATGGGCATTAAAATCACCAACAACAACAATATTGGCGGAGGAGTAAAGAGAGAGGGCATGGTCAATTTGATCAGAGATAACATCTAAAAGAGTGCAATCATGGGAAGAAGAAGAACGATAAAGAACAAAGAGAAAGGTGATAGAGTGAAGAGGTGCTAGGCGAAAGCACATAAAAGAATGGTCAAAGGATTCGAACCTGATTTCACGACAAATAGGGGAATTAATGCGTATGTATACCCCTAAACCTAGCATGTGACTATTGGAGTCTTTACGAATCAAAGGATAGTAGCCATCAACACTGACATCTGAAGAAAGAATTGCAGAATTTAAATTTGTTTCACTGAGTGCAAGCAAGTCTGGTGAGTTTTGCAGGAGGTAAGACTCAACTGATGGAAAATTGCTTCGTAGACCGCAAATATTTGTAAAAGATATATTAAAGTATTTAGGTGGTGGGGATGTTTTTTAGGTTTTAAATTTTTGGTTACTTTGGTCATGATTTGGGTTTAATGAGAACTTGACTCATTTATAGGTAGAGCACAGCCTCCTAACCAACGAGCTATGCAGTTGTCTCAGTCCTGTTAATTAACCCTAAGCCGTGACATAGGGCTCCTTATGTGGCCTTGACAATGCACACCAAAAGCATTAACAGGGACACCATCCATGCGCAACATGGCACTGTTAATACTCTGATATTTTGCAGCTGTTGATGGAATCAGCCTCTCTGAGAGCTACCACAGAGTTCGGGAAACCTTACTACCAGCCGGCCTCAGAACCATTAAACTGAGTTTTAGAGCTGTACCCTCGTATGGAGATAACAGGAAGAGTTGCATAGCCATTATCAAGGAGGCATAAGCAAAATTCTATGAGTAGAGTCAAGGAGATCCAGCATTCATCATCCTAGGCAGGAAACAATGTAACACAGGTTACATCTATGCCAGCCTAATAGATGAAGAAAGGGTTCGAGGCTGGTTAGCAGAATTTTTCTGCTTACCCCTAAAGTCTTTGCCTAGGAGGCCTTCTACAAGACAGTAGCTGGATGCAGTTAACATCTGCCCAAGATAAGTATTTTTATCGAGACACCATCTCTAGCCTTTACTCAACCAAGAGCCCCAAGGCAGGGGGATTTTTAGTCAGAGTTTATTTCTCCTAGCCTTTGCATAAGAAGAGCACACTCTGCAAGGCGGCAGAACTTGTGGCAGGTGGTACTGGGTTACGTGATACCAGTAGCAAGATTGATCTCGATTATCCTGACCTGACCTGGAGTAGTTAAAAGGAGTTACTTCCCGCAACAGTACTTTGAGAAAACCAGGCATGACATTTTGGAAGTGCATTAGGAAAAACACTGCATGTAACAAAATACAGGAGTCTAAGGTGAGTGTACGTTTTGTAGATGGAGTAAGTAGTTAGTTACTGAGCTCACGCTGCATTAGAGTATAAACAGAACACAAACAAACATAAATCAACTTACGGGTGACTCAACACCGCGCCAGAGGTTCAGACAGAACACAAACATACATAAAAAACATAAAGTAACTTACGGGTGAGCGAACACCGCGCCAGAGGTTCAGACAGAACATAAACATACATATAACGTAGATTACAGGTGAGCTAATACAGTAACTAAGGCACCTCCAACTATATGGGAAAAAGAAAAAAAAAAAAAAAAAAAAGATTACTATAGGCATGACTGATATAAGATAGTACTGATGACAGGAAGAACACTCCTTCCAGCCTTTGCTTAGATAGCAAATCCTGCAAGGCAGCAGAACATGGAACAGGTTGCACTGGGTTACATGTTACCAGTAGCAGAATGATCATGAAGACCATACTCCTGACCTGACGAGGAATCAGAATATAATATTTGTTTTTAATGAGAATATTTAGAACTATATCAATATGGCGAATATACTTCACCTACAGATATTTTTGATATCTGTAGGTGAAAAAGATATATTTGACAGATATATTTGACATATTATGTCATATTTGACTGAAACAGAAGAAAAACTCAATATTTAAAACCCTAAGACTTAGTCTGATTAGTCTGATGTTTTACCAGCTGTTGTTTGTTCTCTATAGCTAATCATTAATTTAAAAAAAAATTATAAAATCAAAGTTAAAAAAATAAATACATAAAATACTATATATTGTACATATTTAAAAATACTAATTATAAATGGTAAATATTTTTTCCATTTTTAATAAATGTATTAAAATGTATTAAATATGTCTGTGTATTTTGTGTTTATTTATAGCTCAATAAAAAATTGAAAAAAATAAAATGAACAAGATTTTATGTACAGTTGGTATTTTATCAAATGATCAATGTCATAAAATGGTGTACACTAAATCAATTGGATTGAAAGATTTATCAAGCTATTCAGAGAAAGATAGAAATTTATTATTATGGAGATCTGGGCTATCAATATTAAATGTTAATGTTAAAATCTGTTTACATCATGAACAAATTTTACTTAACCGGTTTGCTAACTCCCAAAAAAATTGCATCGACCCATTTAAAAAGCATAAAACTAATATAAATGGTAAATTTTTACGTTTTTAACATATTGTGCTGTCTTTTTACAAAAAATACATCTTGTACACTTTCAATTAGTTTAAAAAATTTTAAGTTTTTTATTTTATTCCTAACATTATTATATTATCTAAATTAATATTTCCTAATTTTGGCGAATTTTATTCATTTATAATATATTTATAGGTGGTTTGCAAGAAATTGATAATCAACTGGCAAAAGATATGTGTTCAATTGGTATTAAAACAACACCTGGTTTTAAAATGTGTCCTTCATGTCGAAAAGAAGTGGTAAAAAAAATAGATAATTGGTCTACCTTACAGGACCACAATGGCGAAGATGATTTTCTGGAACAAACATTTTTTGATGAAGATATAGAAATGGCACAAGAAAAAGAACTTATAAACACCAGTTTTGATAAATTAGATGTATCGCCAGTAAAATTTCATGGGGTTCCACAACATGCTAAAATTTCTCTAGGAAAAAGAAAATTAATGCAAGCTACTGATGTTATGTCAAAAAAGCTATCAGTTATCCTCAATGTTAACGCAACAGACCTGAAAAATGATGTGACTGGGAAGCCCAATGTTGAAAATCAGAAGAAAGCTGAAGATCTAGATAAATTGATACTTTCAATGCAAGAAAAGCTGAAAACAGCAAATAGAAGAGAAAAGATTTAGATTTTAACATTGGTTCCAAATTCATGGTCTATAAGGAAAGCAGCTGAAGTATTTAATATATCAAAATCAACCATGACTAAAACAAGAAAACTTAAATTTGAAAAAGGAATATTAACACTTCCAGAAAAAACTAATATTGTTAGAATTAAATCAGATATCATTAATAAGGTGGAAAGCTTCTATTGTAATGATCAATTTAGTAGGCAGTTACCTGGTATAAAAGATTTTTTAAGTGTATCCAAAAATAAACATGTACCAAAGCGATTACTTCTTTGCAATTTAAAGGAATTATTTATTGAATTCAAACTAGAACACCCTCAATTCAAAATAGGATTTTCTAAATTTGCTCAGTTAAAGCCAAAATGGTGTATTTATGCTGGTCAAAAAGGAACCCATGCTGTTTGTATGTGCGCAAAACACCAAAACCTAAAGCTTATGCTTAGCGCAGTTAAACTGGAGAAGAATTACCATGAACTTATTGAGAAGATTGTTTGTAGCAGAGTCAAGGGAATGCATGGTCCATAGATGTAATCAATGCCCTGGAATTCAAAATATTATAAATTATATGACTGCAAATCTATTGCAAAATGAAGGATCATTTGAAGAGAATGGCAAAGTGGATGAAGATGAAACAATTGAATACAAGCAATGGAGTACAACAGATAGAGCAGAGCTTCTTTCTAACACATCTACAATAAGTGAATTCATTGAAAGTCTTAGTGGAAAACTTGATAGCATAACATCTCACTCTTATATTGCTAAATCACAAAGTAAATATTTAAAAACATTAAAGTCATCTATACCCATAAATGAAGTTATTATTTTAGTTGACTTTGCAGAAAACTTTAAATTTATCATACAAGATGAAATCCAGAGTTACCACTGGAACCAACAGCAATGCACACTACATCCTGTAGTTATTTATAACAAAAATGCTGAGGGTTCTACTAAAAGTCAACCAACGTCTTTATGCTTTATATCTGATGACTTAACACACGATGTTGGATTTATTTATTGTATAGTAAAAAGAACTGTCCAATTTGTACAAGAAATGTTTCCCAATACCATAAAAATCCACTATTTCTCTGATGGTTGTGCTGGTCAGTACAAAAATTGCAAACATTTTTTAAATATATGTCACCATGTTGAAGATTTTGAGATGCAATGTGAATGGAATTTCTTTGCAACATCACATAGAAAGTCACCATGTGATGGCATTAGTGGAACAGTTAAAAGACTTGTTTCAAATGCTTGTCTTCAACGCCCAATTGACTTACAAATTCAGAGCGCTGAAGAAATGTTTAATTTTTCAAAAGATAACATATTTGGCATCCACTTCTTTTTTTTAAAAGGGGAAGATATTTTATCAGTCCGTAAATCTCTGACTCTTCGATTTAATAATGCAAAGACTTTACCTGGTACAAGAAGTTTCCACCAATTTATTCCACAGGATGCAACAAACATAAGAGACTCTTTTGACATTTATGCAACAAACATAAATGTCAAAAGAGTCTCTGAGCAGGAGGAATTTAATCTAGAATTTAACTTTACTGGCTCAATTCAATATCTTCAAGAAATCATTGTAGGAAAATATTATATCTGCAAATATGATATGTTTAACTGGGTTGGTTTGGTATTTGAAGTTGATGAAAGAAATGAAGATGCCCTTGTAAAATTCATGCATCCTCATTTACCTAACACTTCGTTACACTGGCCAAATAGAGATGATTGTTGTTGGGTTCCTAAGCCCCATATTTTAACTATGATAAAAAAACCATCATCTTCAAGATCAGGGCGCATATACCAGATAGACACAGATGATTTGCATAAAATCCAATTTTTAAATTAACTTAATCATGTTACACCAGTTTTCTTATATAAGCAATTTATGAATTATTCAGATGCAAGTTCTGGTTTTTTATCGACTAGTTTTTTATTTAAAGCTTGTATTTGTTTGATTATTTTAACTTAATATATTACATCTATTATGAATTTTTCATTTTAACTTTTGTTAATGGTTTTTTTTTCTTATAATGGAAGTTTTCAAAATAAGAAATTTCTTAATAAGTAACATCCAAATGTACTTTTTCATTGTAATTCATTTAATTATTTTTAAAAATCCTCAAAAAACCCACCTCTCAATTTTGTACCAAAACACTCTTTAATATATCTATTTTAATAAAAACAACAAAAAAAAAAATTTTAATTAATGCTACCATGGTTACCAGACCTCTTTTTCGCTTTTGTTAAAATTTCAAAAATAGCTATAGGTGAAGTACAATCCCAATATTAATAAACTTCAAATTATTTTCATTAAAAACAAATATTATATTCCGATTCCTCGTCCTAAAAACTATAAAGGTGCTAATTTTCAGCTTAATTACATATTCAGTTAAACAGTAACTCGTAAAACAAAAACTATAGTAAAATCAAAATGGCCGCCGAACAAAAAAAACTGCAAAAAATAGCTGATTTTAAAGTAATGATATCTCCAAAACCCCTTTGATATTAGTGCTAAAATTTTGCAACTTAGTCTATGTTATATAGGTGACCATTTTTACAAAGTATGAAGGAAATCTGAGATGGTGGGTTACAAATCTTAAAAATTTGTCCCACTTTCTCATGGAATACCTCAGAAACAATTTATAAACTAATATATATATATATATATATATATATATATATATATATATATATATATATATATATATATATATTTATTGGGATTAATTTGAAGGTAAGATTTAACTTAGATATTGAGATTAAACTATTAGGATTTAACTTAGTTAAATAAAACTATTTTTAAAGTTTAACGAATAGACAAAAAACTATTTATATACATTTGCAATAGAAACAACTATTAAGATATTGTTGCAAATATTTGAGATTTTGAACAGATTAAACATCTTTTTATGCATTTCAAATTTCAAATAAACATGAAAATTGTAAATGTATACAAGCAAGATTACTTAAAGAAAAATCACATATCACGTAAAGTAAAAATATTGGGTTGTATTATCTAGAGCAAACTATAAAACTTGTAAGTTAATTTCATAAATTTTCTAATAAAATTTATAAATTTTATAAAATTTAAATAAAATAAATTAATTAAAATACCATTGACAATAAAGAAGTTTTTTATTAAACCATTTTGAACTTTGTCCCATGGATTTGAAACATAAACTTTAACATCATAAAAATCCTGAGCTTGATTATTAATCATAGAAAAGACAACATCTCCATTTATCCTAATTGTGTATACATAAAAAAAGCCATTGAAACTTTGACAAACCTCAATATTTGACCACAAAGTCAATTGAATAGGGTAATAAAACAAATTTTTTTTTCCATTAATTAAAGCTATAATTTTAATTCTTCCTGTTCTATTTTCATCCAACCAAATACCTAGAATTTCACTTCTAATTTCACTTCTATTAACCATATGAGATTCAATCATAAAATGAATAATGTTGTGCAGTCCAATCTCAAATACCATTGGATATAGGTCAAAAGACACTAGATATTCTTTATTTAGTTTTAGTATTTGTGCAATCATTTTCCCTTTTACTAATGGAGTATTATAATGATCAATAAGATACTCTAAAAAATGGTAAATATATATATATAAAAAAATACAATACATGAAAAACTATAAGCTTAAAATAAATTAACAAAAGTTGTAAACAATTATATAACAAAATTATGTATATCAAAACAATAATAAAAATCTAAAGTTTTTAACTACTAAGAACTACACTGTAAAATGAATTGGTTTTTTAGTGGTTTATTATAAAACTACTTTTTCAAAAATCGGTAGCATGATTCTTGGTTTTTTAAAAATCCAATTGATTTTATACTTGATCTTTTACGAAGTAGAGTTTTTTTAAAAGCAAAAGTGCTTTTTAGTATTTTGTATGCTTTTTAGTTATTTGAAATAAAATATGTTCTTTATCTAAAATATTGGCTGAAAAAAAAATTATGTAATTATTGTTATTATTATAAAAACTCTTAAAATTGCACTTTAGGAATTACCTAAAACTTGGTCATGTTGTGTACCTTGGTGGTACCACAAAGATACACAACATTGCATGATTTTGTTAATACTATTAAGTAATATTTGTTATAAAAGTATTTTTTTAATGTAACATGTTATTACAGTTTATTTTGATTTTTTGTTTATATTTGTTTTTGTTTTAGAACTTTATTAGTATATGATGTGCATATTTCTTTGTTAAATTGTAATTATTTTTTTCAAATTGTTATCTTCTATTGGATATGTTTCTTAAATTATAAAAGAGATTATAAAACTGTGAATGAGTTGGACAAATCAGACATGATCAATCAGTTTCCACATCCCTCTACTACAGGAGGTTTAGCACGACATCTAGAAAAAATTATTTGGCATTAACTTTGATTATCTGAATGTAAAGTAGACAAATGCTAAATCAAAGTGAAATACTTATTATTATTAAACTTTAATCTAGATATTTTTTTATTCTTTTTTATAATAAACTTCATTTCTTTTGTAAATTTTTGTAATATTCTTTTCTAATACTTCAAGTATAAATTAGTTTAAATATATAAATTCATATATAATTTCAACATAAGTATAAACTAATATAGAGTTTATATAAATCTAATTAGTTAGATTAATATCATCTCTAATGTTTAATTATCCTATAAGTAAACATTATATCAAATTTCTACCATATTGAGTACTTAATCTGTTAAAACAATAAATTTTCCAAGGTACAGCATACATACCTCTAAGGCACACCACCAGTGGTGTACCTTGGCTGTAGTGTAAGCTATTTTTTTTTAATGTGTCTAAATGTTTGATGAAAAATTTTAGAGTAACTAACATCATTAAGTTAAAGAAAATATATTGTTACAAAACATTTTTTTTTTTTTTTTTATATTTGTAAAAGTTTGAAAATACCTCTGAGGTGCAACACTCTCCCCTATATATATAAATATATGTTTACCTATAATATATAATATAATTATATTATATTTATATATATATATATATATATATATATATATATATATATATATATATATATATATATATATATATATATATATATACATATATATATATATATATATATATATATATATATATATATATATATATATATATATATATATATATATATATAATAAATATATATATAATAATAAATATATATATATATATATAAAATATATATATATATATATAAAATTGCTCTGACTTGAGGCTCTTGGTTGACTAAAGGCTATAGATGGTGTCTCAATAAAAACACTCATTTTGGGCAGATTTTAACTGCATCCAACCACTGTCTAGTAGAAAGCCTCCTAGGAAAAAGCTTTAGGGGTATGCAGATTATTTCTGATAAACAGCCTTGAACCACTTCATTATCTATTAGGCTTGTATAGATGTAAACCTGTGTTACATTATTTTCTACCTAGGATGATAAATGCTTGATATTCTTGACTATTCTCATAGGTTTTTATTTGTGCCTCCTTGATAGTGGCTATGCAACTAGTACTGTTATTTCCTAATGAAGTACAGCTCTAAAACTAAGTTTAATGGTTTTTAGGCCAGCTGGTAATAAGGTTTCCTGAAATCTGTGGTAGTTTTTAAAGAGGCTAATTCAATCAACAGTAACTAAATAACAGGGTATTAACAGTACCATAGTGCAAATGGAGGAAGTCCCTGTTAATACTTTTGGTATGCATTGTAGAGGATACATGAGGAATCCTATGTTACAACTTAGGGTTAATTAACACACCTGAAAAAATTGCATAGTTAACTGCTTTATCTATGAATGAGTCAAGTTCTCTTAAAACTTTAATCATGCCAAAAGTAACCCAAAATATTAAACATAAAAAACCATCCTCAACACCTACCTGTTTTAATATATCTTTTACTAATATTTGTGGTCTGCGAAACAACCTTCCATCAGTTGAATCTTACCTCCTACAAAACTCACTAGACCTGCCTCCACTTAGCGATACTAATTAAAATTCTGCTATTCTTGCTTCTGATCTCAGTGATGATGGGTACTACCCTTTGATTCACAAAGACTCTAATAGTCACATGCTTGACACCAATAGTCACATACTTGAGAATACATACCAATCAATTTACCTGTTTGTCATGAAGTCAGGTTCAAATCCTTTGACCATTCTTTTATGTGCCTCTTCACTCTATTACCTTTCTCTTTATTTTTTTTCTTTCTCAATCTTTACAAGACTGCACTTTTATAGATGTAATTTCTGATAAAATTGACCACTTTTTTTACCCCTCTGCCAATTTGTTGTTATTGGTGACTTTAATGCTCATCACATTGAATAGCTTGGCTCTAACGCCACTGACCCTGCTGGCACTAAAGCCTGGAACTTCAGCATTTCTCAATCTCTTACTAAGATAATTAATTTTATGACTCATTTTCCTGACAACCCTAAGTTAAGGTTAACCAAATGCTAAGCTCCATTATTTTCAGTTCACTAAATCTTGCATCTTATCTCAGAAGTTAGGATAAAGAGACTTTTGGAAAATCTTAAATGGTGTTGTTAACAAAGGTAGGTCTAGCATTCCATCTCTCATTTATGTGACTGATCTTATTACATATCCTAAGGATAAGGCAGAACTATTTACAAAAAACTTTTTTTTATAACTCGATTCTTATGGCCATTCTCTTCCTTCCATTCCAATTAAATAGGTTACCAATAGTTAGACATTCAAATCACTCCAGTTTTTATTGCTAAAGTCATATCTTGATTAAATTCTTCTACAACTTGTGGTCCAGAAAAAATTCTTGTCATTGTCTTACAAAGTTGTTCTCCAGAACTCTCTCACTACTGTCTAAACTATTCAATAATTGTTTTTCTGCCTACTAGAAAATGGCATGTTTTGTTACAATTTTCGAAAATTCTGATAAACATTCTGACCTATCCAATTATCATCCAATCAGTCTTCTTTTTGTTATTAGGTTTTTCAATCTTTGATAAGCAAATTTTTCACATCCCATCTTGAGTCAAATAACTTACTGTTAGACAATCAATATGGTTTTTGATCCTCTCACTTTACAGCTAACTGATGTGACTGAAAGTGCATTAGAGGAATTATTAATTGCATTTTACTTAGATTAATAATGTTATTGTAGTGACTTTATATTTGATTAAAGTGTTTTTAAGACTCTACTATTTACTACAAATAATTATCGCAGTAATATTGACATTCCTATATTAATGAATGGCAACTCTTTCACTGAATCCTCTTCTTTATGCCTTCTTGGATTATCGTTTACTACTGACCTTACATGGAAACCATATATACAATCAATTGCTAAATTAACATCTGCTAAGGTTGCTTCTCCTTATTTTGCTCGCCATTTTCTTTCTCCTGTATTGATTTTCTACCTTTTAAAATCACTTATTCGTCCCTGTATGGATCATTTTTGTCATACTTGGGCTGGTTCTTCTAATGATGCTCCTTCTCTTCTAGACAAAGTCCAAAAACATATTGTAAATGTAGTTGGACCCGCACTCTCTGCTAAGCTTGAGCCTCTTTTCCATTGTTGTAAAGTTGCATCACTTTCTCTTTCCAAAAAATGATTTTTCTACAAATCATTTTTCTACTATCATGGTTGCTGTTCAAAGGAGCTATCATCTTTAGTTCCATCAATTCCAAAAACTCATTCTCTCTTCAATCATCATTCAGCAAAGTCTCATTTTTTTACTATATCTATCCCTGCATTCTCTAAAAAGATTTATTTGTTTATTTTTTTTCCCCGCACTTTAACCCTTTGGAACTCTCTCCCATCGTCATGTTTTCCTGATTTGTACAACCTTGAACTTTTCAAGTCTTCAGTCAATTGTTTTCTTGCTCAATAACTCTATTATTTTTCTAATTCCCAAATTAAATTAATCAATCATATTTATTGACAGGCTCAAGGCCCAATATAATAAATATACAATAGGTAAAATAAAGTGGATATAAAAATAATGCACTTGAATATAAACAATACCCAGGAAAAAAAAATAAATAAATAAAGTGTTATAAATATAACTCAGTTCTCTATTTAATCAACAATTGATACTGCAAGAACCTGTCAGAGTTAAGAAAAGCTTTTATGACGAGGTTCTCACTATTCTGCAGCAGTAAGAATGAAGAGTATAGTTGCATTCGAATAACAACATTAAGTTAATGGGCACCATGTTTCACAAATAATTCACTAGATTTGTTTCATGGCTTGTTCAATATCAAGCGAAGTACATTATTATATACAACACATAGACAATGAAATGAGTCTTTTCTTCAAAGACACCATAACTGACATCCATTGATTGGGCTGCAAAAGGCATTAAATAACATGATCTTTGTTTGTAATAGTGTAGAGCTGAACTTTCTACAGATGAGGTTCACTTTAGCATACATAGAACATCTGAGTTTTAAGATATCTTTGTCATCCTGCATATTGTTTGAGATGAAATAACCCAGGTATTTATATTGACAAGTGTATATGAAAACTGTCAGATAAGGTGAAATGAGGGCTATTTACAAGGGGTTCATAAATTTTAAAAAACATTATTTGAGACTTAATACTGTTATAAACTATATCATGTTTCACAGCATAACTAGAGCATAAGTCAAGTAATATCTGGAGAACTTTGGCTGAGGATGCAGTGCACACAGTAAAATATCATCAGAATAAAAAAGATGGTTAATGAGAGAACAACAACAACAACAACAACAACAACAACAACAACAACAACAACAACAACAACAACAACAAGCTAATTATTTTCTGTAAATCATTTTTAATACAGTTGTGATAATAATGATAATAACAATAATAATAATAATAATAATAATAATAATAATAATAATAATAATAATAATAGCAATAATAATAATAGCAATAATAACAGCAATAATAATAATAAAAGTAAAAATAATAAAAAAATATTATGATAATAAAAGATAAAAAAATATATATATACAAATTATAGTAACAGTAATAATAAGTATGTTTACAATAATTACAATGAAAAAATAATAATAATAACTAATATTAATATAATAATAAGTTTATGATTTATTAGGATGGTGTCACTCATGCAGAAAACTGATCAAAGGAGTGACACCAATTTTTAATATAATATAAGTAATAATAAGCAAAGACGCACACTGAAACACATGGACAGTAAACAAACAGACCAAACCATATAAAATATACATCAAAATAAACATGTAGAAATCAATTTGCAGGTTTTAATAATAAAATAAAAGAAAAAAAATAAACAAAAAGTGCTGATGATAATTGTAGTAATTACGAAAAGAAAATTAAAATAGTATTTTAATTGTAACGATAATAATGCTTAAAAGTTAGAATAAAAAGTTTTTCAGAATTTTTGAAAAATCATATTGTTTAAAAAGGAGTAAAGGTATTTTAGGATATATTTTTGGACTCATTCAAAATGCATGCAAGACTTCTGTTCCATTCACAGACGCATTGATAAACAATAAAATGTTTACCACACTTCTGGGTTTTAAAAGATAGTACATTTAGTTTTCCATTGTGTATATTTCTAGTCGAGTAGAAATCTAATAGTCTACTTTCTATGAAAAAGTTTGTGATAGGAGGTGGTATGTTTTTATTTAAGGAGTCAAAAACAAAAAGAAGATTAGCATACTTTACTAGCGTTCGAAATGTTGGAATGAAAAGTTTTTTGAAGGACTTTGATGTATCTGATTTAATTGGATGGGAAGTTTATTAATCTGATGGATTGATGCTGAGACAATAGCAACTTGTTAATGCAATAGTTTCTAACTTGACCCCAAACTTGACAACACAAGCTGAGATGAGATGAGAATAATGCATAGCAAATATTCCTTAGTGTAACTTTATCGACAAATTATTGAAAGCATACTGTTAGCTCGAGATAGTTAGTTCATCAATATGAAAATTCCATGAAAGATTGTAATCAATTAATACACCAAGATATTTAATAACTCTTGAAAGATATAGCCGTTTATTATTAATTTTGATTTTGATTTCAACATTTTTTACAACATTTTAAAGCAATTGTTTTTTCTTGGAGATGAAAAAAAAATTAGATCAATTTTTTTTGGTGTTGAGACATATTAGGTTAGCATTTAACCAGTGAACTATACCCTTTAGATCAGAATTAACATTAATTATAATTAACATTTAGAATTAACGTAAAAAATGATACAATTTGTTAATGTGCAAAAGATTTGTATCATCAGCAAACAGATGGACTGAAGAGAAGTGAACAGAGTTGATTAGGTCATTAACATAGATTAAAAACAAAAGAGGACCTAGAACAAAACCTTGAGGTTTAACAGAACCTTTAGGAGTTTTAGTAATAAATCACAAAACTGATTTATTACTAGAATCGAAACCAGCCATTTACAATACCACAAATTCCATAATGTTTTAATTTAGAAATCAAAATGCTATGGTCAACGGTATCAAAAGCTTTTTGTAAACCGATAAAAACACCACAAACGGAATGACCAGTATCAAAAGTTTTCCCTTTTTTTTTTCCGTTATACTTGTTAATGCATGGCAAGTTGAATGTTTTGATCGAAAACTAAATTGAAAATCATTTAAACAATTAAATGAGTTTAGAAAAGTTATATAAAAATACATAAGTTTCTCAAGAAGCTTACTAATGTTAGATAAAGAAGAAATAGGTCTAAAATTCTAAAAATGTTATAATTTTTTTTTAATTGGTTATTTTTTTTTTATATCTTTTTAGTTAGAATTGAATTGATTTAAATTGATTTGAACTTGAATTTGAATTAATTTAAATTGATTTAAATTGATTTGAATTGATTTGAATTGATTTAAACTGATTTGAATTGATTTGAATTGATTTGAAACTTTGAATTGATTTGAATAGATTTGAATTTTTAAAATTGTTTAACTCTAAAACTCTAAAAGATATTTTTAAAAAATAAAAACTCTAAAACTCTAAAAGATATTTTTAAAAAATAACTGTATTAATTTTTTTTTTTTTTAGCACCTAACTTTCTCTACGATTAGGGTGTTTGGTAATATGTTGCAAATTTAAAGTTAAGGAAACCATTAATTAGTTAATTACAAAACAAAGTCTGTTTGAATTAAATTCTGTAGCAGGTAGCACACTCCTTGATTTTTTCAAAAAACTCCATTTCTAAAAAAATTGTCAATTACTGAAAAAAAAGTAGAGGGGGAAAGCATGTGTCTTCCTAGTTACCCTGGTGTTATTGCCCGTGCAAAATAATAAATATTGACTTTTCAAAAATACAAAAAATTCACCATTTTATTTTACAGCGTAAGATGAGTAATATAAAGAATTAACTAAAAATGTCTTAATTTTTTTTATTTTATACTATCTTCATCATAGTCGCTTATCTCCTGATGAGCGGTTTTATTAAAATGGTGTGTAATAAAATAAGATTTTGCTACTGTACTGATTAATGACAAATTTTAAAAATTTGTGGATTTGTTTTATCAGACTAATTACCTTTTTTGCTAACTGCACCAATAATAACAATTCTTCCAACTTTGCTATCATCATAAGTGAGTCTCTCACTAATGATGCAAGCAAAGTTAAGAAGCTTATACACACAAATACATACAAAACAAATATTCTTACTTGCTTTTCCATTGATAATCAAAAAGTCAGATATAGATCCGTTTTGTGCATCATCCTTATGTTTTGAAACATAAACATGTATTTCTTTAAAATCTGTAGCCAAAGAATTTTCTACTCGATGAATATTTACACCATTTATATCAATTGCAAACCAATATTTATTGCAAAATAGCCACTGGTATATTTTTATGTTAGACCATTGACCCAGGATTAGTGGATCTGTTTTAATAGAGTAATTACTATTACCACTAACTGTAGCATTAATAACAAATCTCCCAGAACCATCTTCATGAAACCAAACACCAAGATTTTTTTCACTATATTCACTGTTATTACCTGAGATAAGCTGAAGAACACTTTTCAAACCCTTAGAATAAGTAATTGGTTTCAAATTAAATGAAATAGTGTACACCTTTTTTAAAACTTTTATTGTTCCAAATAGAAAACCTTGACTTAAAATTAATTTGCCACTGTCATCAACATAATCTGCAAAAACTGAAAAAAATAATATTTCAACTAAACCCCATAATGAATATAAATAAATACAAACATAAGCATAACATATATACAAACATAACATTATTTTACAAGATAATAAGAAAATTATCTAATTGTTTACTAATAAAAGTTTCATGAGTAATCATTAGGTTAAATAACAGTCTTTTTTTTTTTTTTTTTTATAGTTAAAAAACATTTAATTTTTATTATACAAAAGAAATGTGCAAAAACAAATATAAAGCTGTTAATGTTTATATTTTTAATATTTGGATTTGTGGTTATCAACCAACAGCTTGTTTTTGTGACAAAATTTTGATATTATTTCAAATCTTTTGTTTAGCAACTCCTCAAAATACCTTTGTTTGCTATTAAAAGCTTTCTGACCAGATTGGGGATTGTTTTTTTTTTTTTTTTTTTTTTTTTTTAATTATCTTTGCTTCTAACAAGGCTGCAAGCAACCACTAATTAGTGTTGGAAGTTACTGGAAGAAAAAAGATGAAGATTGTAGAGCAAGATAACGATTGACAGACGACTTAAAATATTACAAATTATATGAGTCAGGAAAGCAAGATGAAGGTAGCAAATTCAAAAGAACTGATGTTCGAGGAAAAAAACTAGATGAATAAGAGTTTTTTGAGCACTTAGGAACAGTAACAGAAAAAAGATGAGACTTAATTGAATGACGAGTAACATGAGAATGAATTTTAGTAGATGGCACAAGAGACGCTAGCTCTTTCGAGCAGTGCCCGTTATAGTATTTGTAGAAAAGAGAAAGAGAAGCAACATTACAACGATGCGACAGAGGTTGAAGGTTGGCTGCAAGAGCAGGTCCAACTATGTTTACAATGTGTTTTTGCGCCTTGTCTAAAAGAGAAAGGGCATTATTAGAAGATCCGCCCCAGATATGGCAACATTATTCCATACAAGGCCGGATTTGAGATTTATAAAGATAGAGAATAGAATCCAGAGTAAAAAAAGTGACGGGCTCGATAAAGAGAAGCAACTTTAGCAGATGCTAATTTTGCAACGGATTTGATATAATGTTTTCAAGAAAGATCAGAAGTAAGAGTTAATCCTAGAAGATGAAGGGTAGGAGACTCATCGAAACTATTGCGATATTTTGAGGTTTGAGGTTTTTTTTAATTTGCCATATGTATTTGGAAAGAGGAAATCTATTTTTAACTAAAATCAGTGAAACATTTTATCTTAGTTCCTTTTAGTGTTCTGTAATAAAAAGGTTAAATTTATTTTCATTTGAAGAACTTATCTGTCACTAAGAGATGTTAGGAATTGTTAAGTATTTGAGGAGGAGGATTGAAATCTTATTAAAGTATTTGAGGAGGAGGATTGAAGAGTGATTGAAATCAGTTAGGATGTAACATCGCAACTGATTTCATCACCTTTAAAAAGATTTTTTTTAAAAGGTTTTAGAAAACTTAGGCTGGGACAGTCTTTTTTCTAGGTTAACATCTATGAAGTAGACTACTAGTAGGTTTGTTTACAAATTGTTTTAAAAACTTTAATGATTTTTTTTTTTAATTAATCAATTTGAAAAACACAAACAGACCATTATCACAATATAATCCAATGTGATCTTAATATATTATTGTAGATTGCGAATCTAGTATATAAGAGCCCAATAGTTTACAAACATCCACACGATTAAAACAGTTCATTTAGGCTTTAAAACAGTCATGTTTCTTTTCCATGTTTCAATGTTAAAAATAACAGACTTTCTGCAATCATAGTCTGCAATAATATATATATAAAATATATAATATATATATATATATACATATATATATATATATATATATATATATATATGTTTTTTTTTAATTTTTATATTTCTTTATTATTTTTTTGTTGTAAATTGTGGTACAACCCTCTCTCAACTCTTTAACTCCGAAACAAAAACCTTGACAAGCAAGACCCGCTGCGCGGAGAAATTAAGTTGAGCGTGGTACTTCCAAGACATGGTGGGAGTCGAACTCCGAACCTCTCGCTTAAAAAGCGAGCGCTCTTACCACTACACCACTATCGCATCAGTTTCATGACGCGAACTGTAGCATCAATACAACTAAACATTGATTATGAAAAAATAATCTCTTTGACCGTCTCCTAGTTAAGAAACCGCTAACATCTGCAAGATATTTAAAACCAGAATAAAATTTGCAAAAGATCATATTAGTTGGTCAGTAAATGATTGGTTAAAAGTCTTTTTTTCTGATGAATCAAAGTTATAGCTACTCAGTAGTAATGTAATAAGGTATGTTAGGCACCCAGTAGGAGACAGATAAATCTAAAATATCAGTTACCTGTTACACTGTTAGTCATGGAGGAGGAAATGTTTTGGTTTGGGTATGTTTTAGTTGTGACAATGTGGGTCCCATTCATCACATAGAAGGTATTATGGACTCGCATTAAATGTTATTATATCATTTACTTTAAATGTTGTTCATTTATTTTTGTTACCTAACTGTTATATGACTGCTAATAATAAAGATAATAATATTGTATAATTAAACTTTTATACTTACACTATTTTTATACTATTTATTACACTATTTACTTTCACTATTTCTAAAAATAGTGCCAGTAAATAATACTCATTATAAATCTTTAAATTTTTTCCAATAAAAATTTTTTAACCTTTTTATATATTTACATTACAAAAAACAATTAATTAACTAAACAAAAAAATTAAACATTTCAAAGTTTATTTCTAATTTTTAAACAAAATTTGTAAGCATTTTTTTAAAAAAAAAACATTATTTGTAGTTTTTACTGTTTATTTCATAATTATTTGTATTAACTTTGATGATTTTTAATAATTTCATTGAGAACGCAGTTATTATTGAAAGTATTTTTGTTTACAAAAGTAGTAGGAAAATGAGAGTTCAGAGGGATTTTTTATTTTCAACCAAATTTTCAACCATAAATTAATATTAATATTGAGGTTAACATTGAACCATGTTGTATATAATTTATTTAGATAAGAAATAATTTTTTATTTTAAAAAAAATTGATTTTTTAAAATAAGTGTTAAATTTTATTTCTTGTTATGAAATATTACGAAAAATTCTTAAAATGACGTGACTTTTCTTAATAATAAATTTGATCTGGTGTTTTTAACTTTTCTTCTTCTAATCTTTCCTTCTCTAACTTTTCCCATTGTAATTTATTTTTATTTTTAAAATAACGAGCTAAACTTATTCTTCTTTTATAACCCATAAATTTATTAACTTCATCTTTACTTGTACATTCCATTTTTTTAATTTATGTAAAGAATTTAAATTTTCAATTTTTTCTTCTTGCTTCTTATTTATATCCTTTTTCATGTAAATACTTTACAACTTCAAGATGACTATTTTCTCGTCCCATAAAATTGGAAAAAACAATTTCAATTAAATTTTTAGGTTCCATTAAATTGGAAAAAGCATATTCAATTAAATTTTCAGGTCCTCTTAAATTTAAATCTTCAATAAAATATTTAAGAATATATAAATGTCCTATTTTTACAGCATTAATAAAAGCATCATCATTAACCTTATAATTTTGTGATATTAAATATTTAATAACATTTAAATGTCCATACATCGCAGCATAATTAATTAAATCATCAGAACCTCTTAACTTTAATGAATGGAAATATTCAAGGATATGTAAATGTTTATTAATTGCAACATACATAAAAGCAAGATCATTTCCTTTATACCCTTTTTCATATAAATACTTTACAATTTCAAGATGACCATTTTCTGCAGCTTTATTTATTGCATATTCTGTTCCTTTATACCCTAATTCATGTAAATATTTAATAACTTCAAGGTAACCATTTCGAGCAGCATAATTAATTGCATTTTTTGTTCCTATATATCCTTTATAATGTAATAATTTAATTAAATCAAGGCGACCATATTTAGCAGCAAAGTTAACCTTATTACTTTTTTTATACCCATAGTTTTTTAATATTGCAGTAATATAATATATTTTAGTTGAAGGATTAATTATTTCGTTTTGAATTTTATTTTTCATTCTTTTATTATGTAAAGAAAATTATTTAACTTATTTTTCAATTTTTTCTTCTTGCTTCTTATTTATATCCTTTTTCATGTAAATACTTTACAACTTCAAGATGACTATTTTCTCGTCCCATAAAATTGGAAAAAACAATTAAATTTTTAGGTCTCATTAAATTGGAAAAAGCATAATCAATTAAATTTTCAGGTCCTCTTAAATTTAAATCTTCAATAAAATATTTAAGAATATGTAAATGTTCATTAAATACAGCACACATAAAATCAGTTTCATTGACTTTATAATTTAAAGATATTAAATATTTAACTACATCTAAATATCCATCTACTACAGCATTATTAATTGCATCTTTTGTACCTTTATAACCTTTTGAATGTAAATATTTAATTAGATCAAATCTATCTATTTCAACAGCAAAGTCAACTTTATTTTCAAAATTATCGTTATACCCATAGTTTTTTAATATTTCAGTTATATAATATATCTGATATGAAGGATTAATTATTTCGTTTTGAATTTTATTTTCCATTCTTTTTTATATACACAAGAAAATTATTTAACTCATTTTTCAATTTTTTTATTTTTTTACAAAAAATAAAAAAAATATTTAATTCTGTAGTCTAATTATCAAATACAACTTCATCTTTATCATCTTCATTATCATATTCAGTAGTTTCTGTAATTTCAGTAGTTACTGTAGTAACTGTAGTAACTGTAGTAACTTCTTCTTCATCTTCTTCATCTTCTTCATCTTCTTCATCTTCTTCATCTTCTTTATCTTCGTCATCTTCTTTATCTTCATCATCTTCTTCAGTCATTTCAATATCATTATCATATTCAGTAGTTTCTGTAATTTCAGTAACTTCAGTAGTAGTAATTGTAGTAACTTCAGAATCTTCAGTCATTTCAATATCATGAATATCAATTATATTTAATTTTTCTTCTATTAATCTTAA